CCTTCGAGCCGATACGTCTGAGGTGAGGTCGATCGTTGGGCGCCTCCTTCGTTGACTTGAATTCTTGGCTGGGGGAGGTAATATCTGCAGAGGATGGAGACGTAACCAGGCGTCTGGCTTCTGCCAGTGTTTTTGGTACTATCGGATTACCTCCATCTTTGCCAGCATGTTGGCTGGACTGCAATTCTTTGAGACGGCCGAAAAGGAAACTAAAACTGCTGTCCAATGTTGCACCTATATTCTTTAGGCTCTGATCTGCAGTATTACGCACAGCATCGTTTGCTGCACCGAAGACCTTTGATGGGGGTTGAAATAGGTTATTCAAACGTTGCTGCGTTGTTGCAGACTGTTGAGTCCTGGGCAACGTATTGGAGGCGGATTCCTTGCTGGTGGACTTCGAGAATTCCGCAAAAGTCGTCGCTGTTGTAAGGGATGAAGCTGGTTCATCTTTGCTAGGTTGCCGAGGATCGCTCTTTTCAACGGCCGGTGTAGGTTCGTTGCTAGGAGCTTTCATCTGACCTTCTGGCACTTGGTCAGCACGGAGCTCAGAAAGTTCCACATTTTCCAAGAAGCTTATTGCAGCCTCAAGGTTTGTCAAACAATATGCAGTCTCGCCGTCAATTTTGTTTGACGACCGGAATCTCTGTATGAACAGTAAGTTACTTATGACGTTAATGCCCTCCGGTGGGGATATGATAAGCGAGTAGATCAAGGTAGGTAGAATTTCATCAGCAGAGGATGAAGAAGGCAGTAGCTTTGTTAAGGCATCAACTATCGCTTTGTGGGCAGCGGCGAGATGCCGAAGCTTCCCTAATGGGTATTTTTCTTCGTTCATTTTCTTAAGATAGTCCCTGGCAACAGATAGACCCTCGTCAGCTTCCTTCTGCCTTTCTTCGTCGATCGAAGCCGTGTCGACATCAACCCCAAGGTCATTCAGGTTTATTCCGACTAGGAGCAATGTGGCTGTTTTAGAACGTAACTTCTCGTCTCTAACTTCATCCAGTGTACTTTTATGCCGCCATATTTTGTCGTAGATACTCTCACAAGCTCTTCGCTCCACTGCTTCTTCCAAAGCGACCCGCTTAGAAGCAAGCATCTTCCGGGCAATCCGCTTTTCTGTGACTTCTGATGCTGTTAGCATCTGTCGGCTATTTTCGACGTGTTTACTCTTTGACTTCGGCTGAGGATGTGGCGATGGATCCCGGTTTATTCGGGAAGCGAGGGCAGATATGTGTGTGGCTATATGTGATTCTGCTCGGACATAAAAATCTTGGTAAAGAAGGGAAATTTTCTCGATCGTTGGTGGTGAGCTGTGTACTTTTGCACTTAAAGAGTTGACAAATCTAACAGGTATTATTGTCAGCAATTGATAACACCGCTAAGAAACTGAGCGCTTCATCCTACCGGTCAGTTAGACTGATCAGCTCTATTGGTAATTCCTCTGATTGTTCCTCTGCATTCCGCGATAGCACTGAAACCTCCTCGCCTTGTCCATCATCACTGATGCCTGGCTCTGAGACACCCGCTTTTTCAAACAGGTCAGGTCCCGTCTCCTGGTCCTCTTCGGCTGGCGACAATGGTAAGGGATGCGCATCAGAGTCGACATGCTCTGGCGTTGCTACTGACTGAAAGGTTTTAGACCTTGAGCGAATGAAAGGGCCTGCCTCTGAAGTATCCATTCTGGGAAACGAGCGAGCCGTATGCAAACGAGGCTTTCCAGAGCCATTTTCCGTAGGGTCAAAGGACATGATTATGATAGACAAGTACACTAGGTCCGAACCCTGTCGAAAGATGCCGTGGTATATTGCGATATGGCCCTAAAGTAGTTTAATCGGCCGGCTTTTGCAGATTCCGCGCAATTATCTGGCGCCACTGTTTATCGATAGGAAACACATGAACCGACACGGGTATGAAGGAGACAAGCACCGGAAGAGAGACAAGGCAACTTTGGTGGAGATAAGTTTAATTGTGTAGACTAAGCATACTGTTAAAAGAGCTCGGAGACACCCAAAGCGTTTGGGGAAGAAAGTAATACTATCGAGAGGACAAGCAGATGCGGAGTACAGATAGAGGAGTATCAACTGCCATGTCTGACAAACTGTCACGCGTTTCCGGGCCAATCACGTGGGACCCTTCCCTTCTAAGGAGTAGATGACCTAACCAAATACGGTTAGATAGTCGAATCACTTGGACGGAAGTTTTGCGTTGAATCAGTGTATTTGGACTAGCGTGGAATATATTTCTACTACCTTTTAGGAAGTGGGCCCCTATCTCTCCGCACTGCGTCACGCCGCCGCCTCACCGCCCAGGCAATCGCTCATTCGTTGATAAGGTTGACTGCTCCAAAGTCATCCCCAACATCTGTGATCACCTCTGTATTACTATGGAATTTCTCCGAGGTTAAAGTAAAAGGCACCTTTCAGCAACTATGATTATCTTAAATGCCCTTTTGGGCGTGGCCCTCCTCCCTAGTACAGCTTTCGGCATGGGGTCCGTATACTTCGGATCCCGAGGATCTCCCTTGATCCCTCCACAGGTCCCCTTAGCTGAGCCTCCTACACTTTCAGGCACCCATGAGTTTGTAGGTGCTTTATGCTACTTAGCTTACATACAGTAGACTGACGGCAACACAGACGCTTCGCCACATCTTCCGTCGCGGAGCATATGAACAACCAGATCTCCACCAGAGGCTCGACATCAAGCCGCATACCCGCCTTCGGGCTGTCTCAGAAGATGGCATCGAGGAGGGACCTGTCATCTTGGACTCCCCATTAGTGGCTTCATCGCGTCCTATTAGCATCGAACGGCTTGCAGATCGACGTCCTTCGAGTATCGAGGCACATTTGAGAGCAGCTAGGTCGTCTGGGTCAGCGGTCGTACTCTCCCCATCGGAATGGGTTATGGATACGCTAGCTGGCCCCGATGTTACACATAAAGAAAGTGTTCTCACATTTGCCAAGATGACGGCGAATGATTATATTGAGGAACCAGGCACTGAGGATTGGCAGGATGTCCATGGCCACTTCAATTACTCATCAAGCTTCGGCTGGAGAGGCGACGGACTGAGAGGTCATATCTATGCTGACAAGACAAACGGCACTATTGTTATATCTCTCAAGGGAACTTCTCCGGCTCTCTTCGATGGTGCAGGTACGACTACTAATGACAAAGTGAATGATAACCTGTTCTTTAGCTGCTGTTGCGGGCAGGGCGGCTCGTACCTCTGGCGACAAGTATGTGATTGCCAGACATCTGCATACAAAGCCAACTTGACTTGCATAACTGAGGCCATGAATGATGAGAACCGGTACTACCGTGCGGCACTGGACCTCTACTCCAACGTCACTGCGCTTTATCCAGAGGCGAATGTTTGGCTGACAGGCCATTCCTTAGGCGGTGCAATGTCCAGTTTGGTTGGGTTGACGTATGGAATTCCTGTTGTCACATTTGAAGCTGTCCCCGAGGCACTTCCTGCAGCCCGCTTGGGTCTCCCCAGTCCCCCAGGATATGATTCCAGACACCCTCAGTCCAGACGGTACACCGGAGCCTACCACTTCGGGCATACTGCCGATCCCGTTTATATGGGAACCTGTAATGGTGTTAGCTCTGTATGCACATGGGGAGGCTACGCCATGGAGTCGGCATGTCATACTGGTCAAATGTGTGTCTACGACACTGTTGAAGATAAAGGCTGGCGTGTCGGGATTGGGACTCATCGTATAAAAGCTGTGATATCCGATGTTATCAAGGTATATGACAAGGTTCCAGACTGTGCCGCGGAAGAAGAGTGCTACGATTGCGTGTTGTGGAAATACTTCCGCAGTAATGGCTCTGAAATCACCACCACCAGCTCGACAACGTCCACGACGAGCTCTACCCCGATAAGCACCTCAACCTGTAAGACTCCCGGATGGTGGGGCTGTCTTGACGAGAGCACATCTACGACAGCTACAACGACAACGACATCGACGTCCACATCAACCTGTAAGACACCAGGTTGGTTCGGTTGCAATGACCCGACCACTACAACGGACGCAACCGCCGCACCGTCGCCCACAACTACCGCACCTACCATGACCTCGTCAACGTGCAAGACACCCGGTTGGTTTGGCTGCAACGACCCCACGAGTACTTCGAAAGTTCCCCAAACTGCACCCCCAACTCTGACTCACACATGCCTCACCCCTGGATATTTCTGGGGTTGCTGGGACCCCGTCACAACCAGCAGTCACCCCATGACCACGCCGCCCTGATCGGAGCGCAAAACCGCATGCATATAGCGCTTCCTTTTCTGTGCTGAATATATACACCGAAAGTTAAGACTCTGTATTCAAAGCGCAAGCTAAACTGACATATAGAAACTGACATACCGCCTCATAAACGACACGACTATCTACGATCTTTGCTCTCTTGCCTCTTCAACATAGCGAGTTTCGGGTGTTTCTGGCTGACCGATTGGGAACAATTGTTATTATTGATTTTTGGAACATGCTTGGTTTTCTGGTCGCATTGGTTGTTTCTTTGGATATACAGGATTACGTATTGTTATTGGTTGGATTGTAAGAAGTTTTATATATACTGTCTTGTATTTTGGCATTTATCAATATCACTACTAGCACTAGAGTTTTTCATCTGTACCTTTCCTCCGTTTAACCACTAGGAAACTAAGGGATGTATGTGACATCTGGTACTCACAGCCATGGATACAACCAGTAAGAGTATAGAACTAATAGACATGCAGACAACTGACATGAGCGTTTCGATTGGAGGTAAAACGGCAGGTAGGATAGTAAACCCACTCGAGCACCGATCAGAGAAGGAGAAGCGAGGCGAGATTTACTTCCACCCCAATAACCTGGGCGAGACAAAGCAGAAAGCGAGAAGGAACGAGCAAAAATAAAAAAGAATAATTTATCATTTGGTTCGTTAATTCATGCTAATAATATTTCAATCAAACTGAACTGCTAGATGGATAGTACAACAGCGGGATGGTTCTTGAATTACAGACGAGCAGACTGGGTGGCGTTCTTCTCGGTAGCCTTCTCGATGCGGGCACCAAGGTCCTTGTTTACCCGGGAGAACATCTCGTAGGTGGCCTTGCGGACGCGCTCGTGAGCGTTGCACAGGTGGACGGAGACGTTGTGGACGAGGGCGTTCTGCTGGCCGGGCTGGCGGCCCAGGACCTGCCAGAGCCCGTTGGCCTGGACGTAGTCCTCGGATGTGACGGGGAGCTGCTCGGTGACGACGGAGCCGGACCACTTCTCGTGCTCCTGGCTGGCCTTGACGGGCTTGTACTCGTAGGGGCGGAAGGTGGATGGGTAGTTGGGGTTGGCGCCGTAGTTGCCGTGCACGTTCATGTAGCCGTCACGCTGCCAGGGGGCGAAGGCACGCATGGGGCAGTTGACGGGGATCTGTTCGTAGTTGCCGCCGAGACGGTGGCGGTGGGTGTCGGGGTATGAGAAGAGACGGGACTGCAGCACGGGGTCGGCGGAGGGCTCGACACCGGGGACCATGTGCGAGGGAGAGAAGGCCGCCTGCTCGACCTCGGCGAAGTAGTTCTGGGGGTTCTTGTTGAGGGTGAACTTGCCAAAGCGACGCAGGGGCACCTCGCCCTGGGGCCAGACCTTGGTCAAGTCGAAGACGTTCCAACGGAACTTCTCCGCCTGCTCAGGGCTCAAAGTCTGGACGTAGACGGTCCACGAGGGGTTCTCGCCGCGCTCGATGGCGTTGAACAGGTCCTGGGTGTGCCAATCGGGGTTCTCGGAGGCCAAACGGCCGGCCTCCTCATTGTTCATGGTCTTGTTGCCCTGGTCGGTCTTCAGGTGGATCTGAACGTAGTTGAAAGTGCCGTCCGGCTTGATCCACTTATAGGTGTGGCCAGAATAGCCGTTCATATGGCGGAACGAGTAGGGGGTACCACGATCACTGAAGAGATGCATGACCTGGTGAACGGCCTCGTGGTGAGTGGAGAGGTAGTCCCAGAACATGGTGGCATCCTTCAAGTTGGTCTGGGGGTTACGCTTCTGGGTGTGGATGAAGATGGGGAACTTGGCGGGGTCACGAAGGAAGAAAACGGGGGTGTTGTTGAACACCCAGTCCCAGTTACCCTCCTCGGTGTAGAACTTGATGGCGAAGCCACGGGGATCACGAGCACTGTCGGCAGAACCCTTCTCGCCACCGACGGTTGAGAAACGGGTGAAGCACTTGGTCTTCTTGCCAACGGTCTTAAGCATGTCGATGGTAGTGATGTCGCTGATGTCATCGGTGACCTCGAACTCTCCGTAGGCGCCAGCACCCTTGGCGTGAACGACACGCTCGGGGATTCTCTCCCGGTCAAAGTGTGCCAGAAGGTCAATCAAGTGGAAGTCTTGAAGCAACAGCGGGCCGTTACGGCCAACGCGCTGCGAGGCCTGAGGGTCGAAGACCGGACAGCCATTGGAGGTGGTATAAGTCGGCTTCTCGTTGTACCGGTAGGTTCCTGTGAAGACGAAGTGGATTAGTTTCTATCACGAACGAGGCGAAGGAGGCTAGACATACTAGGTTCGTCGTCTTTACCCATGGTGGAATATGTGGGGAGAGTATGAGATGAAGGAAGAAATCGATAGTCTGGAAGAATAAAACCAAACAAGTCGGGAGATGGAGAATGCGGGGATTTATATGCCCGGAGTTGAAATCGTCAACGGAGCCGACAGGAAGGGGGAAAGCAGGCCGAGTACAGAAGTGGTCGTGTCGGACAAAGACATGGTAGCTAAAATTAAAAAAAAAAAAAAGGAAAAAGGAAAAAGGCGAAACAGAAGTGGTTCCTCAAATCCATTCCAGCTTCAACCAATGATTAAGCAGATTTAACCAGACGATGACGTCCCCATCCACTGGCCAAGCCCCATCACTTTCCCCCTAGTGCCAGACATTACTAACGTCTTCATTACAGGAAGTTGTATGAGATGGATTATCATCCCCACATTGAACCTATGCGAGGAAAGGGTTTACTAAACGGGCCTTACCGGGCAGGGCAAGATGAGGAGACGCTCCCAACGAATTCCTACATTCTCTCTATACCTCAGAGAATAAAATTAAATGGAGTTTTCCCCGAAGCGCTAACGGAGGAGCTTTTCTTTTACCCCGCACAACTCCATGTCCATCACCCCAGGGTCCTGGCCAATGAAACCTCTGTCAATGTCAGATGGAGACCTGACCTTTTGACCCTCCCGATAGTATTTCTGGGGTAGATAAAAGCAGCTGGGGAGAATCTTCAAAGAATGGTAAACCCTTATCTCTGTGATACCAACTCATATCTATACACCGAAAGTCGTACGGAGTCGTACACGTATCTGGCATAAAAAAAAAGAAAAAAAAACCCACCCCCCACGGTCGTTTCTCCCGGAAACACCTACTCTTTGCGGTGGTCAACGCTAAGGGAGCCGGAAGTGGACCCGATTTCCTCCAGGCCAACTACTAGTAGTAGCATGCAATTAACTCGGCCAGCACTGCATATCAGGCTTCCTTCCAGAGATCTTAGTCAGTGGACCAGGCTAGAATGGTCCTGTCGACTTCGAATGCTGAAAAATGCACATTGTCTGGACCTTCCTGGCCGGCAGGCTTCCCGATACACATGAATCTTCCCGCTGGGCGCGAGTTTTGCCCTTTTTGGGCAATAGAATGCGCCCCACGACTTCAAGCTCCCCATTGGCTCATCTCCAACGTTCTCTCCCCAGTAAACAAAATACAATATTGGTTATCTAATACGGTTCTTCAAGTTTATTCAACAAGTGAATAGATATAAGTATGCCCACGGCCCGCAGACCCAGGCACCGAATTTCTACGACTTGTATTCCGTACCTGAGGTGAATGAAACCGAGGCGCATGGCGAATTGACCATCTCAGCGAAACACACTAACGGACGACGGAGTCCTCCGCCTTGCGGAAATCATTCCGTCCCATTACCTGTCATGCATACAGGAGCTTCAAACGATCTTTCAATAAGTGCCCATAATCGGCCCTAAACACTTGACATTACAATACATGCCGCTCAAGGTACTGTAAAAGAAAAACGATATACATACAGTACAAAATCAGCCGAGAGTTATGATCCTATTTCGTCCAGATATCCGGAATTTGATCAAAAGTATGTGAGAAAGGACTGGCATCGGGACATTTTACCGAGCACAATCTACTCAGTGGAACCCGATGTTCGCAGTAGGTCTTTTCCGGCCCTCAGCAGTTCCCCGGCGGAAGCCTCCAGTCGACGGGAAGCTCCGCCCTCCGAAGCGGAGACCGAGTATGCTGGATATTTGCTTAATCTCAAGCTCAGTAATTCGAAAGACGAGTATATGTTCTGCCTTATCTTGTCAATACGTGTTTCTATGACGAAACTACCCTTTGACCTATGGCGAGACCTAATTTTGTTCTATGGCGAAGAATTATAGAGATTTAAGGTAACCCGCCAGTAGTAGCCAAGACACTTTTAGATCGCTGAAAGACCCACTAAAGACAAGTTCAACAATCGAACAACCCTCGACCATATATTGATAATAGACCACTGTACTGAGTAGCTCAGCTCCGTCTTTGCTGGAGTAAACACCAAACCAACTTGAGAGAAAACCGCCAAGTCAAATAGTAACTATCGAAGCAAGGGGGCTTGTGGCTGTAAGGTGCTTAGAATCCCTTGGGTGATCGCTTTGAACCTTTGTTCCAAAGCCCGGAGCGCCAAGATAGAGACACCCAGATTGGAGAGTTTCAACTATTGTGAAGTCGCACATGAGCTCATGTCATCCAAAGCAGAATACTGTGCGCTCGAAAAGACAAGATCATTCATCCTCAAAGCAAATTCATACCCGAGTTCTTCCCCAAGGGTATAACTCATCAGTATAGGAACGTATCTTCCTCAACAGATTCTCTGCGATGAGTGGATTGTTCGTTTTCAATAGCTGCCTAACGCACAGTCAGCATTCCTAGTTAGACCCTTAACCACTTCAATTATTATGCATCGTGAAGGTGGACTATGTCTTACATTCCTTTGCCGGCCCGGCGAATATGAAATAGCTCATGTGGTAACGTGCAAAAAGCGACGGGGCCTTGGCTTTGCTCCAGATCGAGAACAATGTGGAAGTATTTCTGAGGCACATTGTCACTCTGGAAAGGCTCTATATGAATGAAATGTCGTCCCAAGCGTAGCTCACTCATGGATCGCCCAGATACCACAAGGTATTTCTCAATGGCCTCTTCGAAATCGCTTTGTAGGCAATCATCGAACTGGTCCACGCGGAGCTGTAAAATGACCCGTTTCGGGTGTCTAGGTAGTTTCTGCAAGACAGGATTTGCCATTGAGTTGTAGATGGTCTCGCACTAGTAGCTCTAGCTCTGACTTTTCCGTCTCTAGCAAATGTAAGATAACCTTACGGTACTAAGCTAGACTCTATGGTCGTCGACGGGATGGGTAAGATGCGGCTTGTACCTAATCTATTGTTGGCGGCAGTACTATTAATAATGGAAACATTCCCAGAGTTTTGAAACACACAGTCAAGGCTGTGAGCCCCTCTTCTAGAACATAGGTCACGCCCCTGCCAATCACAGGATACATGCGGAGTGCGCAGAGATGCCGCATCCCGCATCGTCCAATAGATATCCGGCGAGCCAGGATTGTGCCGTGAAGCGTTAGGTCCAACGGCCGTTCAGGTCTATGGGACCAAGCCCCCTTTCTCGTTCGCTGCAGCTGCCTGGGGTTGATGTCAGGACGCATGGACCTATTATGGTCTAAACATGGGAGGGAGTATAAATATTGATATCACATTAGTTGGAGGGAAAGATACCTTTACTACTCAACAAGCCCCATATATGAACCTTCAGAGCTGAAGGGCGTTTGTGCAGCGCAGGCTGGACAAACTCCAGATACATCCTGATCTTGCACATCAATTATTCGTTCGAGGGAGCGCATTGTGCCATCCGGACCAACACAGAAGCGTTGATTCGAACGAGCTTTAGCGTCGCTACACTTTCCATAGTCATATCGGTACATGTGTGGGCAGTCTTGATAGGTACGACAGATCTGCCAACACATGATTTTCAAACACCGTATCAGTATTCACTATCCAGTTCAGTTCCGGAAGTTTGACGATTGTTCATTTGATCGGGAACTCTCAAGATCTTTGCAAAATACTGACATTTCAGGATTAGGAAAACATGCCGGTTTCTCGATGTTATTTTCGCCTATTATTATATACGAAATATCGACCACCATGGACCGGTCCTTGGGTGCGGGGTGGGACGCTCAATCTATGCCACATCTTCAGGCTGCCTGATGAGGATGGCCTAATGAAACTACTACCTTCAGGCATCGCCCGATAAGCTAGGTGTACCTCTAAAATGGCGAAATCTCGGCAATCACGACTTGGTGGACAACAAATACAGCACGTTAGCACGCACTAATTCATGACAGCTCATGTAGCTCACCTGATGTGTAAAAAGTGAGGACAATCTTATCTTGAACGAGAAGCCCGGGATGCTCCCTTGTAACCCAGGGCAGTGGAGCATGGTCGCCCGATTGGTGGTTGCTTTTCCATATGGCGAGAGACCACTTCGTGAAGAAATGACGAGCGGGGCATCTCGTCCAATCTCAACGGTCAATCCCACCATTCTGCATGCACCAGCGGCTTTCTCAGTCATAACACGGGCCGGTATTTGCCTCCGGCAGCCGTCATACTGAAATCTCCACAATTCAGACTCCTTTCGTTGGATAATCCTCAAGCCAACTTTAGGGAGAACTGACTCCACTGAACGATGCGATAACGGTTAGGACCATTCCAGGCCTACCGCACACTCAAGTTAAGTCGACCATCTTCCACATCCATCTGAATTGTTGATTATAGGGTCCTATATGATCGTATAAGATATATTAAAATTCCAAGTATTTGGGCCTGTCGTTGTGGAACAGTCAACTTGGTGACGAATCCGGCTCAATAAAAGCCTTGATATTGAAGCGTGGTTCTTGACGGAGGATATTTGGGAAACATCTTGCCAGGGAATGATTGCTATCGGGCGAAATTACTCGATGGTTTCTCCCATTGCAATTCGCATAGAATGCATTGGGGCATGCAGCAACCGCACTTGAACAAAGGGGGTGTAACCAAAACCGATAACTTGCCTCTCTTCCTACAGTCGAACAAGAATTGCAAATGAAATAAAGTATCACGTGTATACAGCCTTGTAGCAAAACAGACCTTCTCGTCTAAGTGATCTCAACTAATAATTTCTTGAAGATATAGTGCAATATCGCCTCTGTGTACCTTGGCAATGTGGCTAATAAGACACCAAGAGCCAATAACTCGGTTCGGTTCAGACAACTACATTACCTTTAATACCATGTGGTCGTAAGAACCCACGTTTAAGATACAAATAGCCGACTATTGCTCGACCGAACATCCTTGTAATTTATAGTACATACCATTCTATTAGCCTAGATCTACCTGCATGGCACGCATAATCTTGCATGCGCGATGACGGAAGAGGTACTACCACACGTATCGAGTCCATCGTCGGCAGAAACAAGATATACGATTTTGATCTTCACATTTGCATCATATCTATGAATATCATAGGGCGATATCCGTCGGCCACTTATTCTCCGAACGATCTACTTGACATAATTGGCCGGGCGCGACGCCGTTGAGATCAGCCGATGATATCATAGTGGGCCAGTTTAAACCTGCAGTCAGACATATAAGAACTGCATTGATATTACTGTGTAGATGTAACTACAGTATTACAAGTTTGGTGATATCAAGACTGATAAGTTTGGTACAATATCTATATTGAACTTTGTGAACAACTACCTCCGTTAAATCACCCGCACCTCCCGTGCCATCTTGCTCCAATAAAATGTCTTCCTCTTCCTCTGATAACCAGAACCGTAAGTATATCCACTGCCCCCTTCCTTAGAAGATGTCCCATGAGCCTGTGGTTGCATCTATCGATCTTAGCCGCATTTGTTGGTCTATACGACCTACTTACATGACTAGTGATGCTGACAGACGCTGTAGCCGGCCTGCTTGATGGGCTTGGCAACACCCTGGGCAAGACCGTCGATGGAGTGACTGGTACCTTGGGTACCGCCGTGGGGGGATTAGGAAAAACCGTCGGTGGAGCGACTGAGGGCTTGGGGAAGACCGTCAGCGGCACCAGTGAAGGGCTCGGCAACACCACTCAGAACGTTGGAGAGTCGGTAGGGGGCATATTCAGCAACAATGAGCAGAAGAAGTGAGAATATCTCACGTACCTTCTGGTCATTCGACGGGTGTCTCAAGGCGTGACTTCTCAGACTTTGAAGGCTTTGATTTTTCTTCGTTATGATATTACTATGTTGCTTTACTCTGAGGGAAGGTGTGTGTAGCATATTCTACTGCCGATGTATTATGAATTTGGTAATCGAGGTGAAATTGTTGCCTGATATTTAGCTTTCTGACCTGCTTCTATCGTGGAGTCAATTATATAGAATCCTGTGTGTTTGAGTTAAAGCTCTTGATGGCTAGGTGCAAACATTGATGACTGTTCCAAGGGTTGCAACAGATGTCCCTGGTTCTAATGAACTCTGACCTGAAGTGGATAGCAATATGTATTTTGCTAACCACAAGTGTGCCCGCAAAAGCAGAACTTATAGAGTTTGCCTATGATCTGCTCTAGATGCAAAGACAGGGCAGGTTGCTACATTATAGCTCAAAATCTTAATCTAACGGAGAATACAACTGATCATGAACTGAAGCACGCAATGCCAAGTATAGCTTATTTAGATGAATGGGACCACACTCATATATCTAAATTTCAGAAGTATTTCAGGGCTGTTTACGTGCAGCGAGTATGTCGCTCTTCAGCAAGATATTACTGAACCCTCAATATGTGTTTGTAGACACGTGCGAAGATGAAAAAATCCCCCGCTCATCAGTACCACTTAATTTATTATAGAATGACTAAAATGTATAACGGACCTTGGAGTATGGAGCTTTAATTTCTTTGCTTGCCTTTGGATTTGCTCTTTCTTCCCGCGTCACGATCTCACATGACAGATGGTAGTGTAGGAGGAACCTGGCAGGGAGGGTCTAGACCAGAATTGGTGATCACGGGAAACCACCAGGGAGTACAGAGAAAATTCCTACTGTACAAAGAGTCCTTGAGCCATGATAGCCTTATTCGGGATTCGAATCATTACAAAAATTTTGTGTAACTCGATTCCACTTCTGCACCCTGCTTTTTCTATCGGCGTCTGCGTTTCTAACATCTGTTCCGATCTGTTCTTTGTGATTCCTTCGGGACAGAATCTTTGCACTGACACTTAGGGAGCTACAAAACCTTGTCCGGACGCCCAGTTCCATCAGCAACCCAATGGGCGAGACAGACTAATGGCTTGGCCGCCTATGATCTGCTACAGAGCACGAGTCAAATCTCCGTTTCCCCGCAGTTTAAATCCCCAGTCTCGTGTTAGTCCGGTTTAGGGCTTCCCGAAGCCTTCAAAATTTCCTTTTCCCTTTTAGTACAATTTTATTTCCTCGTTGGCGTCCAGGCCAGAAAATTTGCACCATCCAACCAAAATGTCCTCCCCTGGCGATGTCCCTGGGTAGAAGCGGAAGTGGGGACTTGAGAGGCCCCGCCGAGCCATACTAGTAGGCCATAAATTTCTAGCGACGTCGTCCCACTGGCCGTACCAGAAGAGGAACCACCAGTGCAATCTTTTGTCCACGATTGTCCCTCCCTTTTCTCCCCAGGATCCCTTTGCTACCATTTCTGTCCCCTCCTTTATCCTTTCCTTTCAACTGGGGACAGTGATTGCCCAGCATGGCTTCCTTTAAGCCTCAGGATGCCATTGACCCGGCAGACGAACACTTGCCAGAATCCCGCAACGATCGCCAGGATTCCACGGCATCCGCGGCTAAGATCGTTCATAATGCGAAAGCCGCAACAGATAAGGAGCAGCAGATGACCCTGTTGCAAGGCATCAAACTTTACCCGAAAGCTGTCGCGTGGAGTGTTTTCATCTCTACTTGCATAGTCATGGAAGGTTACGACATCAGTCTGGTCAACAATTTCTACGCTTTTGATCAGTTCAACAGGAAGTACGGCGAGCTAACGGCAGATGGGACATATGAAGTACCGGCGCGGGTATGCCTTTTATTGTCTTTGCTTTTTCTTGTGAACCGGCCAAACGTATGAATGTATACTGACAGATTTTTCTAGTGGCAAGCAGGTCTGAGCAACGGTGCATATGTCGGAGAAATCATTGGGCTCTTTATCAATGGATGGGCTTCGGAACGGTTCGGATACCGCCCTACTATGATCGCATGTCTCATCTTGATCACAGCGTGGACTGCCATCTTTTTTACCGCACCCAACGTTCAAGCATTACTTGCCGCCGAAATCCTCGCCGGTATCCCCTGGGGTGTCTTCCAAACGCTTTCGGTCACATATGCATCAGAGGTCTGTCCCGTGGCTTTGCGAGGGTACCTGACAACCTATGTCAACTTTTGCTGGGGCCTGGGTCAGCTGATTGGTATCGGTGTGATCATGGGAATGATTGACCGGACTGATGAGTGGGCATATCGAATCCCGTACGGCTTGCAATGGATGTGGCCGGGACCCCTACTCATTGGGATCATGTTGGCACCTGAGTCGCATGGTGGCTTGTGAGGAAAGGCAAAACGCAGGAAGCCAAACGATCCCTTCAACGGTTAACTAACGCTGAGCGAGACCCCGATTTCGATCCAGACGAAACCATATCCATGATGGTTCATACCACAGCACTCGAAGCTAAGATTACCCGAGGTGCTAGCTACTTCGACTGCTTCAGAGGAACCGATCTACGGCGAACGGAGATTGTTTGCATGGTATGGGCAATTCAGAACCTGAGCGGCAACTCCTTCTCCAATTATTCCACATACTTCTTAAAGCAGGCTGGTTTAGCCACCAACAAATCCTATGCTTTTGCCATGGGGCAATACGGTATAAATATGGTGGGCGTTTTTGGGGCATGGTTTCTCATGACTCTGGGAATCGGTCGCAGAACTCTTTACCTGTACGGACTTTGCGGTCTCTGTGTCATGTTGCTTGTCATGGGCTTCCTAGGTCTGGTTCCAGACTCACATAGGGACCAATCAGCTCTCGCTACAGGCGCCATGATGCTGGTCTGGGCTCTGTTCTACCAATGCACTGTTGGAACAGTTGCATACTCCCTGGTCGCCGAACTCTCAACCCGCAGATTGCAGATCAAAACCGTGGTCCTTGGCCGCAATCTCTATAACATTGTCGCTATTGTGTGCGGTGTCCTGACCCCATATATGCTCAATCCAGAGGCCTGGGACTGGAGTAATTTCGCGGGCTTCTTCTGGGGTGGAATCTGCTTCCTGTGTGTCATCTACACCTACTTCCGCGTTCCGGAGCCCAAGGGTCGTTCCTTTGCTGAACTGGATCTTCTCTTTGAACGGGGTGTTAGCGCACGCAAGTTCGCTAGCACCCAAGTGGATGTCTTCGACGAAACTATTGAAGACCAGGTGGTGAAAGACTATCAAACACAAAAGTCGGCCACAGCCGACGTGGCTCAATTGGAGAAGCAAGCTGGGTCGTCATGACACTATTCTCGAACATAATATGATATTTAATGCTGTACATACTCTACATACTCTAATCATGAATACGATTTACGTTACGATGCTATGGCCGATCTTACTTGTCAGCATGTGTATTGTTGGCTACAATATTGAGGCAATGGGTTATCACTGTTCTTGCATTAATGTCTTAAGTTATTTTCCCGTCAAATTGACCTGAATGGCGAAGCTAGCAGGGGGCTCTGGAATATCGAGCGTTTCACCCAAGTTTACTCATTCGACCACTCAGGCTTCTTCTTCTCGGCAAAAGCCGTCATGCCTAATTCTATCAGCAATGTATCACAGTAAAGGATCAAGAGGCAACTCACCGATCTTCTGGTCTTTACTTCCGAAAAGCGCATGGAACAACCGCCTCTCATACTCAACGCCCTCTCTCAACGAGAGTTCTTGACTCTTGTTCACCACCTCCTTGCCAGCAACGACGGCAACACGGCTATATCCTGCAATCGTCTCGGCAGTCTTGAGGGCCTCCTCGAGCAACTCATCCTTACCCCCGTCAACGACTTTCGCGGCAACGCCCCATTCTCCCGCTTCCTTGCCGCTGAAATTCTTTCCGGTCAGGATCAGCTCCATCGCCTTGCTCTTTCCTACTGCACGAGTCAGACGCTGCGATCCGCCCGCACCGGGGATAACGCCTAGTTTGATTTCCGGTTGACCGAAGGTAGCATTCGAGGTACAGTAGATGATGTCGCACATCAGGGCGAGCTCGCAACCACCACCAAGGGCGTAGCCAGAAACTGCGGCAATAACAGGTTTACGGATGCTGTTGGCGAGGTGGGACCAAGGGGCGATGAAGTTGTTGCTATATGCAGCGGAGAAGGTCAAGGGCGCCATCTCCTTGATATCGGCACCAGCTTTGCTTGTCAGTCAGCCTAATCCTGTATTACCAAATCTAGGACCAGATGGAGACAATACCAGCGAAGGCCTTCTCGCTTCCTGTGATAATTATGGCACCAATATCCTTGTCCTCATCGTATTTGGAGAGGGCATCGTTGATCTCTTTGAAGAGAGGGCTGGAAAGGGCATTGAGGGCCTTGGGGCGGTTCAATGTGACTATCGTCCCAATGAGTTACTATTATTTGCTATATTAAGCGCAATAACAGGTCTATACATACTCAGCCCGACACCAGGCTTGGGGCTGGAGGTCAGGATGTGCTCATATCCTGTTGCCGAGGAGTACGGCCTAACACGGGAAAGGTACGAAGACAAGGGGACGGCAGTCCGGGAAGACACCAATCGTGTGCACTGTCGGGCGAACATTGCGGCTGCTATGAAATCAATTGATGTAAAGTGGATTGAAATCAGATATAATACAAATGGTGGACGTAAAAAAAAGGATGGGATTATTATTACTGTCGACAAGTCCCTATATGCTATTTGTAAACGGAGCTATGACGCTCCCCGCAGCCGAAGCGAACCGTTCCTCCGAGGCAATGCGCGCACGTGAACTGCTGGGTGCCTGTCTTAAATAATCTCTGAGTAAGCAAGGAACAAATCCAGGCTAGCGTAATTGTACCGCCTTCCAGTGGCTGGAATTCCGAAAGCGGTTTAGCTGACAAGCGCAGTGGACAAGTTTCCTGCGCCTGAAACAGATATCCACGCATTTCTCCAGTGAGTAGATAAGTTCGCGCCTCCTCTCAGCCTCCGGACCACAGACGATTGGTTTTCTTCCGAGGAGTCATATCGTGCATGAGTAGTACGAGTATCAGAGGCTTTTGAGATATTTCCGTTGTCTTCTGTCATTTTTTTCTCCCCCACCTTTTCCTTGTTTACGCCATGGATGTCCCTGAGCCCGAGCAGACTCCGTTCACCGCGGTGACTGCGCAGACGTCGAAGCTCGCCAGAGTACGTTCAATTCCCAGATACAGATGTCTTGAATCGGCGCAAGACATGGCCGATGATTGAAGAACGTCACTAACCGTTCCAAGAAATATCAAACACTTCTCGATGCCTCGACACCGTTCACTGCCTACCGCTGGATCGGCACCGTCGTCCTTCTCATCATCTTCTTCCTGAGGATCATCCTAGCCCAGGGCTGGTACATCGGTACGGACAATATCCGATTTCACCTCTTTTACAAAATAGACGACCCATTATAGAAAGCATGCGCTAACGATACATCACCCAATAGTCGCCTACACTCTCGGCATCTACCTTCTGAACCTCTTCCTTCTCTTCCTTCAACCCAAGTTCGACCCCTCTCTTACTCAAGACGAAGGTCTCGAGGATGGCGACGCAGCTGCGTCCCTCCCCACCAAGCAGGATGACGAGTTCCGTCCGTTCATCCGCCGTCTTCCCGAGTTCAAATTCTGGGAGAGCGCCACCCGCGCCATCGCCATTGGGTTTGTCTGCAGCTGGTTCAGCGTCTTTGATATCCCTGTGTTCTGGCCTGTGCTCGTTGTGTACTGGATTATTCTGTTTGTTTTGACCAGTAAGTCTCCCCACGGAAATTTGCAAAGGTTTGTTTCGCGGTACTAATCGAGTGATTGTGTGCAGTGCGCCGACAGATCCAGCATATGATCAAGTACCGTTACGTGCCTTTCTCTTTCGGCAAGACTAAGTACGGTCGGTCATAAATTGGGAATACATAGTCCGTCTCCCGATAATGATTCTCGTGTTCAACTGAGCGGGGCAATGCAGACCTGGCTTCTGCATGGCTTTCCAGCTCGTCTCCCTCTTTAACTCGTCTATTCTTGACATGATTAACGTGATCTTGACCAAGCCAAAAAGCGGATTGGAAAAGAAAGGAAGAGGGTCCTGATATTAATTATTGACGAATGACTGTTCATGTGATCGCCCTCATGAACTGATGTTTTCATGTACAGAGTTATAGTCTGCTTTTTTCTTCTCCTTCCTTTCCATGTTTTTAAAACATTTATTATACACATGTGACTCTAGATTGTGTCTGTAGTATAATTGTGCGCCAATAGACCGAGATGCTGCTTGTTCCTATCTACTATCATATATACAACAGTCCAGATACGCCACAGCCACGATGAGCAGTCATGCCCTGCAACGAGTCCACTTGGCCCAGCATACAAATAAATGATCTCTCCCTTCAAATATCCATTTTAATTTTAATTTTTTTTAAAGGTACTTTAATTTAAGGCGACTATCTCAGGCAACATATAGAAAAAACTCCGGCTGATCCACACAAGCTCGTTTGTCTTTCTGGTCAAGAATCTACTTTCAAGTTCAATCTAGTGCAAGATGTTGGTACCAATCACATAATATAACTCTGGACAGCTAAACACAACGTAATATCATTGCCTCGGATATTTATAACCTACCCTTAACTTGATTCCCCATTCGGCAAGCTCATAATATACGCCGCTTAGAATCTATGGTGTATGAAAGTTAGACTGCCGTTAGGTTACGCTACTGAAACTGTGTCTATCGAGCGGCTTGGTCATCTTGAAGATCGCCCTACTCCCCGTTGATTGGGCCTGTAGGAACCGACTCTACTAGTCCTATATTGAGATTTGAGTCAATCGACTACCTCATTCTTCAGGTCGTTTGCTCATGACCATCCTTCATTAACCGGTTAGCTTTGTTGTAACGCCAAGAGACATCCTGTCACCGGGCCAAAAATGTTTTCAGTCCGTCCCGATGCCCAGACTGTATGTACATTATGCAGAGATCACCCCTGCCTCTTCCCAACCGCTCTCCTGCATTAACTGTTGACCCGTGGGCCATACAAATTGTTCATCAGGATAAATACTATTGTACAGATAACCCGCGGGAAGTTTCACGTTCCCACCGTTCGACCGCTGCGCATAAATCGGTGACTGTGCGTCTACTGGCGCATGGGCCGCAGAGGGCTTTGGCGAGGAAGCATCATCGGGGGACCCCGAGCGCGAAGCCAAGCATCGTTGTGAGGTCCTTCAGTACGGATGACGCTGCCAATGGACATGAAGAGACTGCTCGATAACGAAGAAGAGGGATTAGCAAGGTGTCCTTCATTGTATGGTAGAAGCCCGAAGAAATGCACATGTTGTGTTTGATAAATAAACTACACCCATAGGAATTCGGAGGTATAAACGTACCCGAAAGTCGCCCCAGAGCCAAGCATGTATTTACCCAAGGTCCGCATAACACCGTTGGGTCCGGCACCGTATTGGAAGATAGTGACAGTTCCTGATGTATCATTAGCAAGCCTACTAAGACTCACTATATAGAAAGCAACGAACCGATGATGAAGCCCATGATACCGCCAACAGCTGGAGAGACACTGTTAACAAACTCCTCCAATGTGACAAGAGTATCTAGATTATGCCTTACTTGAGCCCATCATAGCACCCATCTTCACTGTAAAGAAGGTCAGTCAAACCAAGTTATTCTGTTGCTTCAGAGGAAGAACCTACTCTTGTCGAAAGTAGAGGGGCCGTGGGCCTGAGGAGGTCCTGCAACGACGGGCATGTTGAAAGCGAGGGGAGCTGAGCCAGGGATATTCTCAGGGAATAAAGATAAATCGACGAGGAACTTGCAGGCAAACTGCAGTTCTTTTCTCCTTCTTTCAGAAAGGCTTATAGAGGTGGAAAGCTCCGACGGTTGGACCACCAAAACCGGGGTTATTCCGCCGGTGACACGTGACACCGCCTTCCGCTTAGGGAAATCATGACCGTCGAGGATCGAGGCGACGACCTGCTTAGATAATCTGCACGTGTGGCTTTTCACGTGATGGAAGCCTGAGGCGTTAGGGATCCGTGAGCTGACCCTCTCAACCGTTGCCCATGCGACTTGGTTTTCGATCTGCTAAAATCCTCTGCATCGAGTTATTACGCTTTTGGCGGCTTACAAGCCTGTGCAAGGCGGTATTACCGTCTCGTGCTGCTTTCTTTTCCCCTTTGGACGGCGTTTTTACCGGTCGCTGTGCGGACTAGGCCAAGCCTCCACGCCTCCTTGGTCTGAAGCACCCATTGCTTTGCATCCGAACTCCACATTATTTTGATCGTCAGCATTTGTACTACGGAGGTAAGCCTCTCCTGTCTTCTGTACCCCTGTGGTCTGGACCCTTTCTATTTCTTTGTGTCGCTTCCCCCTCGCGAGGAACCGGATTGCTGTTTAATTTGACGACTGCGGCTTGATACTAACGTGACCCTCGATAACAGTTGGTGGGAATACGGAATACGGGTCATTGGCGCACTACACATCCCTTAACTGCGATTTGGCTTTAGAGACTGTCGCGAAACAAAATTATCGGTGAATTTCCGACGATTGGTATTCGAGTTGTATACTTAGACGGTTGAGTGTTCGCGGTTTCTACTTTTTTCACCCAGCGCCTATGAGATAAGGTATCCCTGAAACAATAGTCTCACCTACGGACTATCGCCGGTATCCTTCTCCATGACTGCTGTGGCATCACCACCTAGTGTGCAATCGGGGCCTCGCTTGGGATGGTACGAACCTGGTGACGGAGGACAAGGTGCTCTGTCTTCAATGAACGGGGACGAAGTTTCACGCATGTTTATGCCACGGAAGACCATTCAAAGATCGAATTCCTCTTCTTCTCTGGGATCTACTTCGTCCACGTCAACCGTGACATCAACTCCCCAGAATACTAATGCCGGTCAAAGCCACAACCCTGAATCAGCCACTTGGTCGTCTAAAAAGAAACCTTCGCGCAGTCTGTGGCCTAGCTCTAAGTCAGAACCAGTATCCGGCGTGAGCAACGCACGCTCTCAAGCAATGCCCGCATTTTCCTCCGGTCCCACTGCCTCATCGGCTATGTCCGCTATCCATCACCAGCCTTCCATTGTTCCATCTCAACATATGCTCCAACCCCAACAAAATGGCGTCCGCGCAGGGAGCGCGCCTTCGGGAGAACCGCCCGCGATTTTGACGCTGGTGCCGCTCAATGGTACATTTGAAAAGAAGCAGATTAATGTGCCCTATTTCCCGGAAACGGTTCGAATTGGCCGGCAAACGAATGCAAAAACAGTGCCTACCCCAGCGAATGGATTTTTCGATTCCAAGGTGCTCAGTCGACAACATGCCGAAGTTTGGGCTGAAAAAGGCGGGCGAATCTTCATTCGTGATGTGAAATCGTCGAATGGCACGTTTGTTAACGGAACACGGTTGTCTCCAGAAAACCGCGAGTCAGAGCCGCATGAGCTCCGTGAAAATGACCAGCTGGAACTGGGAATCGATATCATTAGCGAAGATCAGACAACGGTTGTACATCACAAGGTCTGTTGCAAAGTGGAATATGCTGGGGTTTATGGCACCATGCCGAATATTCTTGATCTCACACTTGGAGATCTGGACCCTGCCTCAGGAGGAGGCCTTCTACCTTCCCCCCTTAGTCAGCCTCTATCACACATGCGAGGGCGATCCGGGAGCTCGCTGAGCAACCGGAGTGTACAGAGCACAGCCAGTAGTCAGTTCAATGCGCTACAACAACAGCGGCAAATGAATTACTGGAACTCCCCTATATCTATTGAACAAGTTGTTAAAAGACTTACGGTATGTGCCATGATATCTGATTTCTATTCCAATTGCCTCCTAACCCTCTATAGAGCGAAATGAAACAGGCCAAACAGCAGTCACAAGATCTACGTCAAACGGACGAATTCTTGACTAATCTTACGAAATCAGGCCATCCTGAGAAAGAACGAATGAAGAGCTCGCCTGCAGATAGCACTTCGTCCCGTCAAGTCAATGGCAGGCCCAAGATGCCTCGGCTTGATTCTTTCTCTCGCTTTTCTGACCCTCCCGCCCCACCTCCACAGCAACCTCTACCTGAAAAGCCCGATGCCTTGCCACGCAATGGTACTGACGTTACTTCTCCTCTTAAGCGATCTGATACAGAGAAACCGAAGCTTGGAGCCACAAGCTCACCTGTCTCTCGTGAATCAAGTCAAATTCTATCGCTGATTGAAGCTCTGTCGTCAGCTAAAAGAGAGCTCGACAGCCAGGGTGCTCGTGTGAAAGAGCTAGAGAGCCTTTTACTTGAAGAACGGAATGCACGGCAATCTGCAGAAGAAAAGGCCAGAAGTCTCGAGATGAGGGCTAAGGATAACGAAATAGTTGCAAACCACACTATCTCTGATTCTCATGCCGTCAATACTCAAGAGACTGCTGCAGAACAGTTAGGCCCTGCAGAGCCGCTAGTAAATGGTGTGCTGTCTGAACCTAGCTTGGAAGATTCTATCTCAGAGGAGAAGTCGGTGACCGCAAACAATAATGATTTGCAGCAGCGCCTTGAGGCGATGATGGAAGAAATGGAAGAAATGAGGAAGCAAATCACGGTGTTTAGGGACCGTGCTGAGAAGGCTGAGAGTGAGACGGCTGAGACCAGAAAGTCGTTAGCAGAGATGATAGAGACTCTAAGACGAGAGCGTGAAGAGCGCTCCGTGGCAAACAATGAGTCAAGGACTCAGGCACAGGATGCTACCAATCGCTCCGGTTCGTCTAGTGCAGATGAGGTGAAGAACCACCCAGACGCAAATAGTGAGATGGAGCCAGAGTGCACTGGAACATCGCCCCTATCTAAGGAGACTGAAATCTCCGATACGACGTTTGCAACGCCGCCTCACAAACATGATGTCTTGCAGCACTCTAGCCCATACGCGTCGATGCTTGGGGTCGTTCTTCTAGGTGTAGGGCTAATGGCCTATCTGAATGGATGGCAGAAAATGGACAAATGATTGTCCTTGTATTTGTTTCAAAGCAAAGGCCCCAACCTTGCTCTACAAAAGAACTTCCAGAGGTCGACTCTTGGATGCTTCACACTCTTTGACCACTCGTTCCATTTCTTTTTCCCTCCCACTTCGCTTCGATTTTCGCATTTGATATCATTGTGTTTTCATGTATTCTGCGGATGCTTGGTGTAATCTTTATCTTTTCTCCTCCCATTTCCGCTTTTATCGGCAGTTATCAGATTGCATAACTTGCATGACCCTCCCTTGTCATCTGCTGTTCATTCTCATATATCTTTCCTGTACTGCGTGTTGTTCCAGTTACGATCTTCTGGCAGCAGCAGGTTTCCGTTTCTTTCTTCTTGATTTTCACTCTACGTTAATGTTTCCTTCTTCATGGGCAGAAGCAAGTCATATAAGGCTCACCCGCCTTTGTGTATTAGTCTATCATAGCAGCATCACTTCCCTTGGCAGTTCCAGTGTTAAGCAAAGCGACGAATGATTATCGATATGTTTTCCCATCATCCCCTCACTCCAGCCTTCGAGGTACCATTTACCGATGTCCTATTCTCGTTCGGCTGAGTTCAGCCGTATTATCATTTGAACGATGCGTGGTTCACGGAAACAATTTCTTTTGGATTGAAAAGATCGAGAGAAGGCAACTCTAGAAGCGTTGATATGCAAGATATCACCTCCCTTGACTCTCTGTCCAGGTTGTATATATCTGATGTAGCTGTGTGTACTAAACTACTCTGAGATGCATTTTCTCGGGGTGTTGCGTCTAGCTTCCAGTTTCAGCGTGAGCGTGCGAAAAGTCATGGCATTTAGTTTTGAGATTGGTATGGAGTTATTCTAGACCACCTCGTTCCGCAACACGTTTTCTGTTCTTGAAACGCTGGATTTTCTAGTTTCTTCAAATCCGCTAACTCGGCAAGTGGCACATCTCAACACACAATTGTTCATGTGCATTGAATATGTCCCAAACGTAAGTATATAGACAAAAGCCTATAGACGCGAGTGTCTTCGCGCTTGGTAGATCTTCCTTCCCTCCCCCTTGAAATTCTCGAAGAAGACTTCTTCCATAAGAGGTTCAGGCGGTCTGTTGCCCGTTGTGACGCCTGTCAGTGTATACAACTCTGCGGTCGTCTACCTCAACAATATCGAACATCAAGCGGCATATCAGCAAAGGAGCTGTACCACGACGGATGGCATTTAACCCGGTTCTCGCGTTTGGCGTAAAAGGAGGCCTGTTCTCCACGCACATTCCGAACCATAACATCGCATGAGCATTGACCGGCGCTATCCCCAGCAGCTGCTCTCTCCCATCTTGATACTCAGTCGACCATCAAGTCCAAAATTTCTTCCCAGAGCTCACGCATACCTTTCATTTAAAGGCAATCGAAACCTCCACCTTATTCACCCACCGCGTCCTCGTCTCAGGCAACTCCTCCTCCTCTGCAGCCGCCAAAGCACTAGCCGCCCGCCTCTGCTTCTTCGCCCTAGACTCCGAACCCTGCGAAGTATCACCACCACTACCACCACCACCACCCTTCACCTTCTCCTCCAAACTCCTCTTCCTCCCCTCATCCTCAACAACATCATCAACAACAAGCACACTCCCCGTCTCAACACGCACCGTATACTCACTCTCCCTCTCCTCAAACCATTTCCCCACCCGCAGCGCCTTCTCAATCGCCCGCCCCGTCGCCTTAACAAACACCTCCTCCTTCTTCAACGACTCACTCCCGCGCGCAATCTGCGCCAGTCTCTCCCGGTCCCGCTTCTTGGAGCTCGATAGGTTCACGGACGCGGTCGCGCGCTTCTCAGCCTGCTGGAGGAATTTCTGGACGCGTTTCACAGCGCTCATGAACGGCGTGTTGGTTGATACGTAGACGATCTTGGGGACGCTGGCGCCGGCGTACGGGGATGCGATTGGGGCGTGAGGGATAGGGCGTTTTTGGATTCCGGCGTCTGTGGTTTGGGATGTTAGTTTTGGGTTTGGTTTGGTTTGGTTTGGTTTTGTCTTTTCTTAATTTTCCTTTTGGAGGGGCGATTTGGGGGTCTGACGCACGTTTAGGGAGCTTGAGCATGTCATGGTTCTTTTTTTCGAAGGTGAGGGCGTTGCGTAGAGGTTGTTGGGTGGTTGGCATTTTGAGGGATTTTTGGTTGATTATTTTTTTTGTTGTTTTTCGGGGTAGAGGACCCTGAGAAGGAGGCAAGATGAAGAGTGAAGAGATCAAGGTGTATTATATGCTAAAGAGGTTTGTATCGTCGTAGTAACCGCGAATTGTTCGTTCGTTGGAGTTTAGAGTTTAGATAGATAGGAATTGGTTTGCGATAAAACTAGTCCGCGTTTGGATGTGTTTGTTTGGTTTGCATGGCTTTTACGTTTTGAAAGTAAGAGTGAGGTCATTGGTTAGGGCTATCTTTCTATTTGGAATTATTCTTGTGGATGTTGTAATCTCGATTGTTACGTGGATTAGCATGTGGTATTTACTGGTCGTTGAATGGTTGGAAGAAGAATCATGGAAAGTTCAGCTTAAGACTGCTATAAATATCATTTCTGAGGTTTTATATAGCTCTGTCGATGTTTTGTCATTTCTTTACATTTACTTATTGTCACCTTGTTTTGACTTGAATGGTCAGGAAAAACTTCATTATCTTGGAAGATTGTTTATTTTCATGGGATGTATCCTACTGCACGTTCATCGTGACAAAAACATCATGTCAAAATCATGCAAACCCGATTCATTAATCATAACCGTCGTAGCAAGTTGAGCGTCTCGGTAAAATTATAGATCTGTATGGTAAAAGGACCCAACTGTCCCATCCCTGATGGGATCAGTGAGGTGAGAGAATTGTCTCTGCAATTGGAGAAAGAATCGATAAACGTGGTCGATGATAATCATGCATGATAAGATGGATCTTGTGCATCAGCCCGCAGCATTGTGCCACAAATATCGCTCTTCGGGCAATGATCTTCGGTTTAAGAGGAATTTAACTCTGTACTGCAAGCTACCGGCTATGTCTCTTTTCCGGGGCGAGGCATGTGCTGGTATCCGGATCACATCGTTCCCAGGCTTGATACATGCACTGACATGTCGGCGTTGGGTCATTGCTTGATGGCTTGGGTAATCTGGGATCGGATAGGAGGAGGCGTGGATCTATGCTTTGTTGCGTTGCCCGTAATGGCAGTAGCTTTGCTGCGGTTTACACCACAGGATGCATGGACGGGCTGGCTTGCGGCTTCTTGAGCGGCTTGTACACACTTGCGGTAGACGCCGTGGTGGCCCAGACAGCGACGGAGATTGGGGGTAGGAGAGAAGGACTCTTTCTGTAGCTTCCCATGTGAAATCGCAGCCAGAGATGATCGGCCAGGTACACTGACACGCGAGGCTTGTCGGAAGAAATTAACAGATTGTTTAAGTTCTGCTGTTGCTATTGCCATGATCGGGAGGATTGTGCTTCTAGCTGACTTGTCATTCACATAGATGGTGGTTTTTTAAGCCCAGGGGGGCTGTCAGGACTTTAAATGAATGGACATAACATCTATGAATCAAAGTTAATTGACCTGTACGCTGTTACCCGGACGGGAAATACCTGGATGTTTGATCGGACATGCATCCTCCTAGACTCCAGGGAAAAAATTGGGTCAGTGAGCTTCGAAACCATGGTTGAGCTGCGGTGTGTCTTCTGTCATTCGCGGGATCTTTGCCAGCCAAAACCAGATATGGCCAACCACAGGTTGAGATGCTCATGGTAGCAATGATGTTCGTTGATATGCTGTTCTTGTTGGCTGGGTTTATTCGGTGTAGTTTCACGTATCAACGTCAAATGTGGCGACAGACTAGCTTCTCCGATAACATTGAAGCGACCGAGAACCCCTCAGAGACAATACGTCATATTGGGAAGGTAGCAGTAAAACTCCCAAGATTCGTTAATGTTGTTCTCCTGTGTATATAAGCAATATTTTGCACGTCATCTATCAGCCCGAGAGGGCATTGAGCCACGCGTCTGGTCCCTGGATGTACCATAGTACCGACTAGGTCCCTCAAACCTACCTGAACATGCGCTCCCCCATATGTTTACCATCCTTCTCCACATGATCCCCGATAAATTATAATCTAAAGCCACAACACGAGCATTATTCACGGGTGGCACATGAACGGTACGACTAGCCAGACGTCCCATTACCAATCATTTGGCATGCTGGAGCATTTCTATGACGCCACTGAAAGATTAAATATCGATTCCGTGAAGATCAAGTATGTCAAGTTTGCGTGTCTTGCCATCTTTGGAAGATATGTGGCTTGCGCATCGGCTGCTCTCAGGCTCAATTCGATGATAGACAGCAGTGTGTGCGGAGTCGATCATCATGCTATGCTCTCATGATTGTCACAGATGGCGTAATCAATCACTATGATCGATCTCGGATCGTTATGTGTATGCGACAACAATAGTCAGATCGATCGCCCATCTTGTATTGTTCGCGATGGAGGAGGGCGAGTCTTCAGTACTGAGTGATTATCCCTCAGTAAGTGCTCCCGGAAAATGGACAGAATACCTCGTTTTTTATGAGTGAAGATGCACTGAAACCGGAAGTATGCTTAGGAAGTCTTGTGAATAATTAAAATTGAAGGCTTCTGAACAGTACACCACCAATAGTATAACAGACCCTAGCATATATTGGATCAGGAAAGCTAAGGGTAATTTGTAATATTAGCCCTGGACTAGGGTTATCCCAGTGAAATGTCTAATTTCATCGTATATCAAGAACAGATGCCCTGCACGCTGCTATGTCGTGGGTTAAGAAGTATGGGTCGACATCAGAACACTGCGACCCTAAAGGAACCCCACCGAAGGCCCGCCCGCCACCTTGCCGCTATCTTCCACCGCCGTTACCCTAGAAGCCAGGGCACGGTTAATGTCACGGCGAACTACGGGTCCAGTCCTGTTGTAGCTCTTCGAGTTACGAATTGTCTATCTATCTTTATACAGCTTGGCCCGTATCCTGCCTGGCTGAACCCGCATTCTGACGTAAATATTCATAGAAATTTACTAAATAGAATTGCTAGTGACATGTCTGATAACGGTCGTCGACTTCATCATGTCTGGTCTATAGTTCTCCCTTCCCAATGATACATTTGCCAACACCATCAAAGCCCCCCAAACATATAATTATCCACAAATATACGCCCATGTCAAAGATAATACACACATATAGTTCTTCTACATCTTACCCAAGCATAATCAAGATGGATTCAGAAACAAAGAGGGAATAAAGAAAAGGCACCAAGGGTAGTTAAATCCAAAACAATGAGTACCCATCTTGATAGGAGCAAAGCTGACTACAGCAGGGTCAACTGCTGCCGACTTGGGGCCATGTACCCCTGCTCCTTGGCAGGCCCAAATCACTCATGGACCACGAATCGTCACTGTCAACAACCAGTTTGGACTGCAGATCGGGACCGAACTTGTTCAAGCGCAGGGGTCGCGCATTGTGGACAGCGTCACCTAGACTGTGTGCTTTGGGGGTGAAGTAGGTCGAGCTGGAGCCGTGAGACACATTTTGAGCAGAAGGTGATGCTTCGAGGGTGGGCTCCTGGGAGTTATCCAACTCCTGCTGCGGCAACATCTCGTAACTACCCAGAAGGTATTGCGGGTCTGATTTAGCCTTTTTGTACATCTTGTCCAATTTCCGGTAGACTGTTTGAGCGCTGCTTCGCTCGCGCGATTCAATGCGGATCATGCGAGACATGATCAAATCCAGCAAGTCAGACAACACGGGGGAGCACCGTGGGTTCGTCTTCAGCCTCGTCACCCATGCATCTATAGATGGACGGACTCTCGTCTGATCTACGCTGTAGAAGCAATCTGTATTGATAATGTAGTTGGGGTCGTCGGATCCCCGGAGTTCTGCAAATTCTCCGATGGCCTTCTCCCCGCATATGATGTAGGTAGCGAGCTCCAAATATAGACACCCGAGACCCCAGATGTCGAAGGCTCGGTTTATGAACTCCCCAGGACGGCGAGGAGGTGAGTAGGTCTGAGGGAAGGCTGCATCTAGATCATTCGACTTGGACTCAAATCGGTGAAGTTTCGCTAGCCCTAGATCGGCAATCATGAGTATACCGTTTTGATCTGTGCACCCAGGACGCTTCTTGAACCATATGATGTTCTCAGGTTTCAGATCACCATGTCGTCCATAAAGCGTCTTACTGGATGTTTTACCCGCCTGGGGTAGCTTATGTATCACAGATAATCCACTCGCGATTCCGACCACCTGCTTGACCCACCACAGGATATTCTGGCTGTTCCATTGGGGTAGCTTAGTCCGCTTCCAGTATTCTCGAAGGTTCTCGTCCGCCCAAGGGAACACCAGGTGATTGTCTCCCTGGAAGCTATAGGTGCATAAAAGATTGATCAGGTGTGGATGGGGATCAGCTGAACCCAGGGCCTCAAGGAATTCTTTTTCCCTCTGGAACAGAGTTATATCTTGCCGGATGAGTTTCTTGACTGCAACTCTACACCCTTGGCTCTACCTTGGGTTAGCAACCAGGATGCAGCGTCGCCCAGATGTATGCGTCGCTATCACTCACCTTACTGTCAGGGGGTTCACAGAAGTTGTGATGGTCGGCATGGATGCGTTCACAGGAGACTCTTCCGTACCCACCTTCAGTAGACTTCGCAGATTCTTTCCCCACAAAAGGAAACTTCTGCTGCTCTGGAAAATCGTAATGAGCACCTTGGCGAAAGACCGGCACGAGCACACGCCACTGTTTTGATTCTAATGCTTCCAGGTCTTCATAGTCCCAATCTTCTGGTACCGGGACCTCGTGGCCTTGACTGGTTCGCAAGACGTTCCCGTCCAATTTGAATGGGAGATTGCTATCTTGTATCCCTCGGTCCATGAAGGTATTTATATGGTCCACCTTTTTTGACATGACCAGAATTGTGAACAACTTTTGAGCTCGTTGAACAATCTTCTCTGCCAGCTTGGCTCTTGGGACTCGACTATCGATTCTTTTCTCAGCTAGTATGTCTTGCACGGCCTTTTCGTTGATCTCGGCATCGATAATACTTCGCGGAATAAACGCATGTTTGATTGTGCATTCTCGTATCCGGTCCAACGTCGAAGATAAAATGGGAAACGAGTGTTGACTGGAGTGAGACCCTTCGCGGGACATGGGTGGACTCACGGCCTCGGGAAATCGTTTTGGGGAGCTGGGTTGGGGACCAGGGCCATCCTTGATACGTCGCGAATTCCATGAAAGGAGCAAGAATAAACACGCCAATGGGAAAAGCAAACAATAAAGCCAGTACATACTGGATGCTGTACAAGTTGAGCTGGTTCTTGGAGTGGAACGTTAGTAAGGTTTGGTTGGGTGGTGACGGGCAAGGAAAGCGAATAGGAATATAATATAAATGTTTCGAGAGACGAGGTATAACGGATGAAGAGTAAGAAAAGGTATAGAGGATATCCAGAAGGTCCAAGACGAACCGAAGGCAACGTTAGTGCCTCCGTTTGGTTGGAAGAGGAGAAATATCCGGTAGAATTGGAGTACTGGGCGCAGGTGGTGGTGAATTGCTCCACCGTCTGGGTGGAAGACGCTGTAGAGGAAAGGGTGAAAGAACTCAACAAACTGAGAAAAAGGCGGGACGGGGGTGCTGCCGCCTGCTTACCTATTCATTTCTCATGGTAAAACTACTACAGTACTAGTATGGCTACTAGTAGTATGTAGTAGTAAAATAGTGGTGGCGGAGATCAAGACACTCCCTCGATGGGTGTGAGCGGTTGCCTCCGCCGGGTCGGGGAACAGACTGACTGACGAACGTTGACCTCGCGCCGTTGGCGGTCTTATTGGCGGGCTTGACAATAGTGTTCTACTAGTAAGGAGAAATTGTCGAATAAAGAATGACATTATCGGGCAACGAGGCAGTGATCCTGGAGCTTGTCCATTAGGATCTCCCCCAGTGGACCGTCTGTACTGCGGCTGCGCGTCACTTCCAGGTTCACTCTTCACTTTCTCTGCTGGTTCCTCCTTCTTTGCCTTCTCCTTTGCCCGATCTCTATACCCCTTCACCCTCATATTACGTAGGTCGTCCAGGGCATTGAAAGAGGGGCATCGGAGCGTTATCTCTTCTGTAATATCTACTAGTACTTCCTACTGCGCTGTCCATTCTATCTACAGTAGATCTGTGAAGACTATGAATACTCGTTGCCTTCATTCACACCCTTCAAAGCAAAACCAAATTACATAAGAACGTAAAATGGGGTAAGAATGTTGGTTTAATCGGCCTTCGTCGTGGTGGTGGCATAGGTAGACGGGCGCATCAGGCTGAATAAGGGCATCCTGCCCTGGGTCACGTCAGTCTCCGTTTGGCCTCGCAACCTGCCCCGTTCCAAGTCTGCCTCTTCGCCCTCCCTGTGCGACACTGGTTTATGCCGAATCCGAGTCACCTTCAGAAACCAAGATGAGTCACTATATCGCACAGAAAGGATCCACAGAAAGACCGTAGCTACCGTTAAGGGAACTGAGATAACTGCCAAAATCCAAACCCAGGGTGATATGTATATGCCTCCCTGTTCATCAATCTTGACGAACGCTGTAGAAAAGAAGTTCTATATGGAAGAGTCAGCCATCCTCTTTTTGATCCATTCTAAGGTCAGCCAATGGAACGCACCGCTACAATGGTGGTGGGAAGGTAAACCAGGCCAAGAAGACTCAGCATTTTCACAGCCGCAGCGTCTTCTGCACTCCGTTTCTATCGAAAATCCTCATCAGTGGTACGTCCATCACAGCCACATTGGAAAATAACGCACTGCAAGCTCGGCGAGGTGGTGGCTTTCCTCCTGAGAAGTCTGGGCCAGTTCTTTCAAAGCTTTTGTCTCCACATGTGATGCTCGTGCCAATTGCTTCAAGGCTCGCGTCTCCTCGAAGCTGAGTAGATCGGTCAACTGTCAGTTCACAGCATGTTAGCAACAGTGCTGAGAGTGGGGTGATGGTGGCTGCCTACCAGTTGCTCTGTTGATTGAACCCGCTCCTGTAACACCTTGGCCCGTTCCAGGTAAATGCGGGATTCTTCTTCATATTCGCTAAGCTCTCCGATCATGGAGCTGCAGGAACAGTCATTCCCGGCACCACAGCTCAGTTGACAGTGTCGTTGGCAGCTCTTCCCAATGCGACCGATGGTGTTCACAGCAGTCTGAAGGATGACAATCAAATCCGTTATGTAATCTCCCAGTTGCTTAAGGCGCTGTCTGTCGTCCACCTTGAAGTATGTCAAATGTTTATCTCGGTCTTCGACATCCCAGACAATGAGTCGGTCGGCCTAAAGAGCGCCTAGTTTAGCCCGCGTAAACCGAAGCGGAAAACAGATACATGCAGGTGCATACACATTGGTAAGAGTATGAAGACTACAAGACAGCGAACGAACATACCTTTTGCTTGCATTCAGACTCTAACCAAGCCATGTAATCCATCCAGCTGCTGAGGCCATCAGCCATGAGTCTCTCGTGAATAGAGAAGTGCGGCTTCATGACCTCCCCCTCGGATGGGCTTCCGGGGAGGCATTGAGAGACCTCATTTTCAATAGTACGGGAGGGCGCGATCAGAATGAACACCGACGAGCTTGCTGATCCATCATGCGGATATGTCAATTTGTGGTAAACACCCGTCTGACGAATGGACCAGGGACACTCCCCGTTGGACGTCGGGCGCTGGTTACGTTCGACTCGCCGGATCACATATGCAATCTCTGTGCCACCAGTCAACCTATAAGGTATTCTCTGCATTGAAGACGTAAAGGCTTTCGGAATCTAACCATCAACTTTGCCGTCTACCCTCCGCGAGCTTTTGGTACGAAAAGGAGGAAATACATATTCATTCTCCACGACTCTGATGCCAAATGTGAGGACCGACTTCCAGAAATAGGGAAAGACGCTTTGTTCTTCTAGGAGATTGTGGAAAAGTTCGCTCGATATGTTTAATGTCGTCCACGATCGCGGCTGCGAGACCGTATAGACTTGTGCACAAGCAGAGGTCTCTTCCTATGGCAAAATAGTTGATACATTAGCTATTGAATGGGAAGTGGGCCATACAAAGTGGTGTGGAATTACCTGATGGAGTCGCTTCAGCTCTGAGATGTGATTGATCGGGATGGGTTGTTTGGTTTGCAATGTCCGTCTGCCGCATGAGTCCTTTGACGAAGAAAAAAGATAAACCACTAGCTGAGCAACCTCGTTCCTAGATTTAAAGAGACTGTTCGTCCTGGACTTGATTTTTTCCTCTAGGAATTGATCAACACGGGAAGAAGGGCAGCTGTGGTCCATTGTCCGGCGCACCGAGGGATTGAATTGTCAGTCAACATCTAGAATACCACAAGTCTAGAGACGCATGCATTTATACACCATGCGAGAACACAGCTCGAGGCTTCAATCTCAGTGCCCACGATATCTTTTGCATGCGGCTCTAATTCAAGAGGCTGAACATTGTCGCCACGGCTCTATTGAGGCTGAACATGTAAGCCGCAGCCATATGTTCCCACAAGGCATTGGGTGACAATGTTTCTACCTTGTTAGCACTTGAACTACTGGGCAAAACGGTCTTATGAGGGTAAAAGGCAGCTGAGCGCGGAGCGAATGCAAACGACGGGCCGTTTTTCAACACATGCCGGCGATCAGCAGGCTTTCTCCGTGTTTGTCAGTCAGCGGGAGACTCTCCAGGGCTCGCGGAATGCCTCCTAAAATCGAGGATCAACCCTAGTCGTTGCGCCTACAATAGCCAATGAGGATGTAACTTATGCAGGTGTCATCACAAGGTGTTATTTTGTCTGCACTTATAGAGTAATGGGGATGTCAATCAATATTACGCCATGTCCAACCTCCTCACCCCTCAACCCCGCCATAAATCTCCCCGATTGTGCAACGTCTTGAGTGGGTTCCCGTTTGATGTTTATTGTACAACGTATTGATAATGTTTTTGCATGGAGATTTTGCTAATACCATACTCGACACTCATTGATTTGCTCCTGGGTAAAGATTTAGTACATTCGATCACGCCAGTCACCCGCATAGTCCAAACCTGAGTTAGTCCCGGCGACCGGGCTCGTTCTTGATCCAACACGTATATCTTATATTGATCCAAGCGTAACTATACGGCATACCTTAGTCATGGACGGATGTCCTAATGACGAGCAAAGAAAACACACCTCGACTCGAAAATTGGCGTGCCCATATTCATTTCCCAGCAATTTAATGAGCTTCTTTGGATTCATGTATTTGCCCTCAATAACCTGATTGGGGGTTATATTGGGGGAGCGTCCTCGGCTCATCGCGCAACAAGGCTGTGTGGAATTTGCTTTTGCGCACTCAATATCAAGAAGAACCAAGAGACCGTGTTTATACACGAACAACAAGAAAAGTGTTCATATTCACATTTGCACAATAGTCCTGGCTTGGAGGTGCTCAAACAGATAATATATTTTTCTCATCCTTATATACCGCCACCACTCCTTGCTATGAATAGAAGTAGAAACGAGTTGTCTTCAGCTGCGTACTTCTCAGCACGCCCCGGTCACAGCGCTACAGCTGTCGATATCATCCTATTGGGTCGGTATTAGTATCACCTCTCACAAATGGTGCATCCGTTAGGCTGGCTCGTTTCAAGCCGCGTGCATATAGGTGGCGGGTACGGTGCAATGACCAACCTGCGATAATGCTTGTGGTAAGGTCAGGTAGCAAATTCCTCGTCGAATCTTTGGTCATTGTTAGCACAGCCCCGTTTTATCCAACCTTATGATGCATTAGTTGCCGTAAGCTGCGCTGGCGCTGAGGTGTTTCTCCGCACCTTTTCCGTGCTCAGCAAGCAGGCGGCAAGGCTGATTTTGAAAGGCAAGTGACAATGATCGAGGTGGGCAAGGCAACCATGTAAAACACACGTAAGTCCAAAGAAGGAAAGCAAACGCCCAAGAATGAGGCCAGAGAAGAATAGGACGAGGGGCTTCCATCCGATTGCCTGGCCCCATCTCATCAGGGTGGAAATACCTGCTCAATGATTGCTTGGAGAAAGGGCCATCCAAAGGAATTAGATAACCACCTGTGGCGGTTCAGAAACATTAATAGAAATACTGAGCTTACACTGACTTGATACCCTCCCTGCGGGTATCGCCTCCTCAGCAGTGCCTCCAGGCGATCCTGCACAACATATCGCAGGAGAATCGTCTGGGTTTCCATCATAGAGCGATAACGAGGTCTTGCCACTAACCTTACCTGAGTGAGCACTTATTTAATCAGAGCCAAACAAAGCTTCAAAACGCTCGGTAAGGGTGATCTAGCCTTGGCAACTCACAGTATATGATGAGATGAGTCTGCAGTAATAGACAGCCTAGCAAGGCTTGATGCACTGCAATCCGCTTGTTCTATTTGGTCATCACGGAGTTTCTTTCGCCTCATATAGTCTATTAGTTGCAAGAGCCTCATCACAGCTTGAAGCCAAACTGTAGATCTTGGGTAGTATTGTGTATCTACTTCGCGCAGATGCCCAATATACAATGTTGATCCGCGCAGGTGTTACATGCCAGTCTCTCTGATAGGCAGGATCGAAAAAAAGAAAACATAGAAATATATTACGCAAAGGTATGAATCTGGTCTATTGCGTGTTGTCTTGTCCTATTTCGACCGTCCATCCTAGTCGAAGCAGATCGACGCTGGTTCCGACTGGTGTTTGTAACCCCTAGTAGTTAGATGCTTTCATATAGCCAATTTGTTGGCGTGGTTATGGCAGAGCCTGGGGCTCAAAAATGGCGATCTAACTCGTCCGTGAAGCCGAAATGGACTTTAATGCATTGAAATGTCATGGATGGAGAGACTTGGACTTCGTATCTGCAGAATGAGCGCGTGTCTATGTATCACGAGTATTTTCCGGGGTTGTATACCTCCGTGTGGCAATGATTGGCTCTCTTCGGACAGGTACCCTGCACATCACTTTGTAAGTGAGGTCAATGTGGCAATTACGACTATTATTATTATTCGCGCTTTCATTTGTTTGCTAACTATCACCGAAGGCCCGAGATATATCACATGCACGGGTAGAATTGCAAAATGACCTAAAAGTCAGGATGCAGCATGGCTTATATTGAGACTAAGGCGGAAGGATAGCATCAGTCCTATTCATAATATCTTTTAAAGTATAAGATTTAGTAGCAAGTTAGTTGTGTGACAACTAGTATAGGACGACTTCATACTTACATATGATCATACTCTTAAAGAATCCATACAGTACATGGGCTTTCGATTATACTAATAACGTTCAAATTGGACCAACATTGTGATAGATAATGCTCTCGAAAATCGTCGTTATAGTTAGACTGTAATGTCTAAGCCGGTTATTTGAATAGTGAGCTACTTATTCTTAATCGACAGTATATTTATACTATCTATACTTTGTTAAATTCGAGCTCCTTGGTGAAAAAGTCTTACTTTATTTGGCGCTCTTTCTAGTTGCCATCATCCGGTCAATATGAAGTCAGAAGAGGGTTATTCTGGATAAGAATAATGCAAGTTTCCTTGACGTTAGGATCTATGACTTCCTCTGTCCCCTTATCTTCACGACTGTGCTTTGAAGAAAATGGAATAAAGATATAGAACCGTCTTCAAGTTGCATTGACATTACCTCTTCCAGATATTTCATTTCTTACAAAACATCTTTGTTCTCATCAGCAGTTATTGCCATAGATTGGAGTAAGTTGATGTTTACCCTCTCATGATGCTCAATGTCTCCCTTTTTTATTTTGATTATAAATTTCTTATACCATACCTAATAGTTGCTACTAGTCCCGAAATTTGATTAACATATGTACCCAAACAACATCATAAACGCACTAAGCCATTCCAGGAAAGAGATACGCCGAGTCGGCTGTGGAACAATCGGCAGTAAGCTATATGACGCAGTATCAATTGGGGTCCAGAATTGCCAGTCGGTGACTCAAAAAAGGGTAGTACTAACTAACTAGTTAATTCCCTCAGCGAGTAGCCTTGCCGGCTCTTCCCGAAGGTGCTAACGACGGAAGGCTTCGGCCGAAGTTCGGCATCTCTATTTTGATCTTTGGGTTAAGCTCTGCACCTCTTGATAGCGGAAAAGTTGATGAAAGCATGTGCATGTAAGGTTATTGAAATTGTCCATAAAAGACGTTCGTTGTCGAAGTGTAGAATGTTAAGCTGAGGCTGACTGAATGTTCGCGAGTGATGATGCGTATACTCTGGCGTACTATTAAGTTTTTGGATAGTTAAACCCCCACGGCCTAGAAGGGAGTTAGGGTTTATACGGTATCCACAAGTTCACGGAATAGAGTGGAAACGGCTGAGTTAACTTTGAGCGCAAGGCTTATTCAAAGATGCCCACCCGATGTGTCCCTTGAACCCTTGGACCCTTGGAACTAGAATTTTCTCTGCGAATTGTTTTTTAAGGGTAAGTGGCCTGGTTAGCCGCACAGCTCATATATCCACATGTTGTGATGTTAGCTGTCAGCCTGGAGTAGTGATGGATACATAGCTCTTATTTAACTAAGTGCTGGAATATTAGCTGTTGGATGGTGAGTAATGTGGGCGGTCGGACCGCTTAGTCTTGGAACACGCTAGAGTTTATCTACCTCAGGGCGTACTCGGGATAATGTCTGCATGGAATGACATGAATAACAGCAATGGCATTTTAAGTGGTATTGAAACTGACACCCAACAATAATCAAAATTGTGATCCAAACACAATGTGCCTATAGTCGAACAAATGGGACCCAAGGAACGCCGATGATGATATATAATACAAACAATCACGGTGCAATGCTTCTCAGGGATGTACAACCGGCGATCAACATCCATGGATATTGCCATTATATACTTAAATGATTTTGCAACTTCAACAAAATGACGGTTGCAAACCAAAACGCCAATCCCGTATGAAGTCCAGATCATTAGGAATAAAATATAGTACGCAAAAAAACATGTCGATGACGAGGCACGTCACCTATCGTCTCCTGGTCTTTCTTTATGCGAGGCGGACTTCGCTTCGGAGCGAACAAGTTTGCGAATACTGATGTTGGCCATATGGACCATGGCAAGCATATGTCGCAGTCCAGGGACACCTGATGGGAACACCAGATATAGCTCTGAGTCCAAGAATGGATCGGGGCGGAACTTGTCATGATAAGCCTTCTTTCCCCCTATAGGTAGTCTCTGGAAGGTGTGACGGTATAACGACCGCGTAATCTTTTCAATGGCCGATGGTAAACCCGTCACGTCGCCCAGGGTCGTAAGAGGTTCGTATCCGAGACTGAGGTAAGACACATTCATTTGGTTGAGAAGCGCCATGGCTGCGTAAGCCAGCAAGTCGCTAATCCCTTTAGGTGCCCCCGGAGCAGCGATGCAGGGGTCAAGATGATATCCTTCGTTGGCACCAACCCGACGAAGCGCCGCGAATCCGTTCGCGACACCGTCGGGGCCGCGGGTATATATATAGATCATGAGATTTGGAAAATCGAACGGGTTGTAAACGGTAATAAAAGCCTGGGCTGCGGCCGCGGCTTGATTGCGTTGATGCCGCCATGATTCATAAATGGCCATTAATTCGCTCTGTAGGGACGGGTTTGCCCCATATGCTGGAGCGTAAACACCCAAGGTGATGCCACCCTTGTCTGGATTGAGTAGTTGTTTGTTTTGGACGATGATTCGCTTGCCACTTCGCTCCATAAGCACATCGTTCGTCATCGGATTGAGCACACGCTCAGCACCAAATTGTAGTGTAGCCCAATGTTGATGTCGCGCATGCTTGACTAGACTGTCACTGGCCCCCATGAAAGCAATTCCCCAGTGGAACTGCTTTCGGTACGCCTTGAATTCGTCTAGGATATCAGAAAACAAATATGGCTCACATAGAGGGTCCCCCGCGACTATTGCTACCTGATTTTGCACCTTATAACACAAAGCCCCGGTTCGTGCCTTGTTGAGGAAGAAATTGTAACTTCGGTCGAGTATTACCATATGTGAGACTTTCCCATAGCGCCCAGCTAGTCTCTCTAAGATTTCGGCATTGTCCATATGATCTCGGGCGGGTAGGTTGGTCTGCGGTAAGGATGTCGACGTAGACAGCGGTACGAACCCGTTGCGCCCTAGAGGCAAGGATGATTCGGAGCTTGAACGACCGTATGTGTTCGAGGAATGACGAGAAGATAGCGCGTCTGAGTCTGATGCTGGTTCCACAAGGGTTTGGCTGCTGCTGCTACTCCCACAGCAACTGCTGCCACAACGTCGGGATCTCGCGTCATCTGCCGTTGGTGGAAGTAAGGAAACTTGATCACGCTGACGATCCGCAGGAAGTGCACACCAAGTGCATATAGTATCTAGCTTTGAGTGGCTATATAGCTGACTCGCCAGGGACTCGCCCACAGTACGGAATAGGAGGTCTTTCTTTGCCGGATTGGACTTCTTTTTGGAGGCTTTCGGTCGCTTACTCTTTGCGCCGTCGGACGGCTGTACGACAATCGGCGGAACGCCTTCAACGCTCAATTGAATAGACATGGTGGGCAGTTGGTATAACAGAATATGGAGGATTTTGCTTCATTATCTGGGAGACAGGCAAGTTCCTCTGGTCATTACAGATAAAAGAGCCCTTTAATGGACCCCCAATGGACCCCGTAACGACATTGAGTGGATGGACGCTTCGCCTCCACTCACACCAAACAATAAGAGTCGGATTTGGCAATAGAATGACATCGCCCGGCGGGTAATCCGAAGGATACTTAGGCAGTAGCATTCGTTGAACCAGGATTGGTCTATTCCGATAAGGGGCCCGACGCGTAGTCTCCGACTATAGCGCTTTCTTTTAAGTTCAGTGGACCAGAGATGTGACATTTGCTTATGCGGACCCCGCGGGTGCCGCCTTGGACGGACTGCGGATCCGTAGGGCTTCCATTGTCAGATCGTATTTGTGAAACCCTTTACTTGTCTGCCTAATTGAGCCCTGCTTAGCCCTACGCCAGGATTATTTTGGGCACACAACATGCCATCCAAGCAGGTTTTTACTCTTCAGCCTATTTCTTTGTTTTCTCTAGGTATTCGGCAGGTTGACCTTGAAGGCGACGGCAGTTTCAGCGGGATGAGGACGTTATTAGAAAGATGGACCGTGTTCGTCTGAACAAAAGCCATCCACAGTTCAGAGTGACTCATTCCGAGGTTCCGAGCAGCGAGCGCTAAATGGTATCCAATATGGAACACGGGTGTTGCGTTCGTTTAAACCCTAAAGGAATCGGCTTTGACCCTTTTTTTTTTTTCTTTTTGGGAAAAGAATGCGCAGCGGTGACGACACAACAGGCAGCCGTAGAAAATAAGCTTGAAACCAAGCCTTTCGTAGTTTCGAGCAGGGTTTCGGCCAATGGTACACCGCCTTGGCACGGGTAGGGCTGGATTCCGAAGTGGAGATGAGCATCTAGAAGATCGACACTGCCAGACCCTGAAGGATCACCACGCTAGATGGTAAAACAGTTCATGATGCGAGACCGATAGTGTGGCTATGCCACTGCTAGACCAGATAGCAATAGAACAAGTAATACGAGCCTGAGCTAAATTCTCCTATTTTAAGATCGTCTATACGATCATGCATGAACGGACCCTTGGCTTGGGGAAAACGATCTGCCTAGAACGTCAACTGTCTATCTCTCTTGTGGCGTATACGTACATTTATTGCGAACTATTTGGGTTCTTTCAAGGGATCCCGTGGAGAACTATAACCAAAAACACTAAAAATATGAGTTAGACATGTAGCAAAGATTTGGCCAAAGCTAAAGGGAGATATGCCACTTTCGTGGGATAGCTCCCTAGGCCATAGGCAATGGATATAGTCTGCAGTCATATCCGTAACGAAGAGGTTCACGGCATTAGTTCGTTAGCAGCGGCTGTAGAAGCCGCTATGGAAGGTGTGTACTCGTGGATTGCCACAATTTATACTCTCGATCCTGGTGATCGAGGCCGCTCTATTCCGATTTTAGTTATGATTATGTAGCAATATTGATCGCTTGACCAATAATAATTAAAATAAATAAAAAGCAGAAAGACCCACCTTCATGCCTGGTGCCGCTGCGCCAAATTAAAGTTGTCGGTCGCTCGTGACCTCTAGGGAGATAACTTCGCGGCTAATGGGGCAGTACATATGACATTTGCATTTTTCAGGGGACAAAATTTCTCTCAATATACCCTCGGCAGTAATCGCCAACTGAATGCCCTTGTCAGCTCAATGCAAGCCTTGGGGCATTGTGAGCTATCCAACGATCATATGGAGTGTGCACATGCGCTCTATCCCGATAGGCCGCGCAAGAGACGCTCCTCTTCGACCCCTTCCCCGAATCTAAGATGGTTGTGCGCCAGTATAAAGTTATACCCGCAGAAGTAGAGTACCTTTGGCACCAGGTGCATTCATGGGCAGTCCACTACATACTGGACCCTAGTGACTGTGTTCTTATACGGTACGCTATTTTTGCCTCTATTGCTGAACTCAAATGGCAATGGGAGCTGAAAATGCGGCGTGACGCAACCAAGGATATCTCATATGTGAAGATTGATGATGAACACCACTCTTTAAGCCAGAAGTCGCTCCTTGCTGGGCTAGCAGTGTACCTGGAATTGGCTATCACTTGATTGAATACGTACCGAACAATCCACGAGACTTTAGACCAAAGTAGTACTTGAAGAAAGTGGAAAGAACGTCAACTTTGCAAAGAGAAATATCAGAACTAATGCTAGTTTCTTTCGCACAGTGACTAGTCTAGAATCAATTAGAGGGTGCTGTTTGCAACCTAAGTAAAGTTATTCTCTTTGAACCACTTTCGATAAGTCATAGCAACTTCAGCCATTGTTCTTCACCTAGTGGTGGTTCTGTAGAGAGTTTAATTGTCAAATCCATACTTGTAATTATACGTTGTTTGTTTCAGGGCGTTTCATACGTTCCTTTTCTGAAAGTATTACCACCGAAAAGGTCTTCTTCTCTATGTTTCTTCCGGGTTCATTACACACGGCTCTTGGCTCTAGGTAGCCTGGATATCGAATATGACGTTTTATATTTATATATTGAGTGGCTAGACCGAGCTGTTTCTATCTATGTCCCTGTTGTATGAATATAGCTGGAACTGCCTTCCATCCCATGCCATGGCTACTAGCTTTCTACCAATGCTTCTTGAATTGACACCATGGCTGGATGGAAAGAAGCTTCAAATGCGGTAGTTCTCATGCTATTTGTTGATGACAATAATCATTCAGCTACTTATACTTTTGGTAGCAAAGCCATATGTGACATGCACATACACAACACTACACTACTGAGGAATGTTGTCTGATATTTCAAGCGAGCTCTTTCTATAGACAGTATGACAGACAGTTGCAAAGATGGAAGGGGACTTCCGGGAAGGATACGTCGAGTTATAAAGCAGAGAAAAAAAAGATAGTTGCAAAATCTGTGGATATAGCAGCCTAGGAGTCATGGACTGCGGCTTTCTCATGTCTATTCCATTGCCGTAGTATAGAATTTCCTTAGAGTGTGGTAACAGGGCCTGAAAGAGGGATTGTTGGCAAAGGTATAACAGATTAGAGATAGCCAAAGAGAAAGAGCGGCTTTAGTTCTCCTTATCCACGTCAAACAAGGATTAGCGGAGCTGTGTGGTGGTTTTACACTAGTGCTGACCCGAGGCCTCACTGGATTAGCGTCCATTGCGGTAAGTATCAGCTCATATATTTCCTGATATCACAGTTCATTGCTTGTTGTTGATTGTAGTAGGAGGCCTCTGCATATTGAAAAAGTAACCCGTATGTGTGTTAAACTAAGGCTTTATTGTAACCATATAATCCACTATCATGATCTTGGGATATTTACCAGTTATTAGTGTTTAGAGGGATGTGACTAGGTACGTTCAAGGATATCAAGCATCCAGCGATCACATGTTTGTGTAGAGGGTATATGATATTGATCAAACCATACTGTTTCCTCTTCTCTCAAGCAGCTTGCTGGACCTACAGTGCACACTGGTCTCCTGGTCAACGCTGGGCGTCAAATAAAGCGAAGGAAAGATGTTGGTACAGAGCAGCGTGTGTCGATCTTAACGCCATGAAGAATTTCTGAAAGTTATCGAGAACCCTAGCAACGAGACATCCAAGTAGAGCTCAAGCGCAATTTGAGTCTCAATTAACCACTCTCCGCATGAACCCGCTTTCTTCGTTGAACATGGTCCTTTGAAATAGGCTCTCGGCCAACACTGGTGTTTCGACCTTGCGAGGGTGCGTTCCGGGGCGTTGAGCCCAGAGAACACGGCCCCTCTACCGGAATATCGCATGGATATGACCATCCCTGAGCGAGCAGCTCCTCTTTCCTGTCAAAGGTCAAGATTTCAAGGGAATGCGAAACATAGTTGTCAGCTGTGTTGGTCAGAATCATCTCAGGCCAAAGTTATATTGTACCTTGGATTGTCCTTACAATAGCAGCCTTCGTTGTGTGGAGATGCTGAGAATAGGAGTCAATTATCTATCGGTAGTAGGTACTATAAATCTCACCTCAGCGGAGTATAGGTTGCGACAAGCAAACATAGCTCAGCGGGGAACCCCGAAAAATACAATCATATTTGAAACTGTGGGAATGACCATACTATAGGGTGAAGTTAGGAATGAGTCAGGGGTAAATGTCTAAGGCTATTTTGGATAGAGAGATTATGAAAGTGGTGTCTGACGACACACTTCCGCGGTGAACTGCCACTCCCAGCGAGATGGCTTTCTGAAACGTTTTCCTAAACCTAGGCAGCAATTTGAACACCTGTGAGGGGACATAGATTGTTCGAAAGAACCTTGCTCTCAGATAGTCTTAATGCCGTTCAATCTGCCTTGTCTTTTTACTTGCATCTAAGAGCTTTAGAAGGACATTGGTTTTGAGGCCCAAAGTATCGATCACTCTAGACTCTTGACCGCACATTGTATTGAATCACGAATAAATTCTGTACTTAGATTCTCCTTTCCGTAATCGGGTATTCGGAAATCACTAATATAGACTAGACCGCCTCATCGCTCATAAGCGTGCCATGATTGCTTCAGATATAATGAAGCTCTATAAGTAAAAGATAGAGGTCTATGGGTCTTTGACTGCCAGGAGTGAACAATCACTATCCTTGTACGGATCAATAGTGAAAAATAGATCAAGCCACTGGAGTAGTGATAGCTTGCACCTCTAGTCTGTATTAGCATAAATTTCGAAAATATTAGGTGGCGGTTGATCTAGCCTTCAGCCATGGGGTATCTTGCAATAACAACGAAAAGAAGTTGTTGCTAGTTCGTTTCCAGGTACAAGGATCTAAGTGTCTGAGCCTTTGATCGAGATCTCGCTTTACCTTCCATAGTTCGTCCAACAGGAATAACGTATACCTAATTTGGAAGATTGGCTCGATTCCTTTGGTACGTAGCTTGAACAAGGACTAAGGTATGTCTTGAAAGGAATATCCACCAAACCGGTGGCCAAAGTTTGCGCGCTAGTAGAGTAGAGACTTTGGCGCAGTGGGCTAAGCAAATCAACGTTCTAGAAAGGGCATTATAGCCGCGTACTATAGACGATGGGACTTCTGGCCACGGCCGAGATGTGGAGGTACACAGTAAGCAATAGTAGGTTTAGGGTTGGCCTGTCATACAGGGATCAGCCCTTGGGAGCACAGGTGAAGCGGTGAACGAGGGATCTCGCTAATTTTCCGTGCTGTTCTTTGGACGATTGACTTCTTTCGTACTTCCTCGTTTATTCGAAAGCTTTAACTCCTTGGGCATAAAGCAAGGTGGGACTGATGATCGTCGAGCCGTCTCAAAGTCGAACCGGCGATCTAAATAGACGATTTTTCAACGGCTGCCAATTAATAATACTAATCCACCAATGTCGCAGACATGAACATGCCCAGTACCGAGGTAAGTATTCTGCCCCGGATTGCGCGAACTCTGGTACTCTTACGGTGTATAGGTAGTAGTAGTACCGGATGTATTGAGCCTCAGGCCTCGTTTTGTTCTTCCACACGACTGGAAGATCCACAAGAAGAATTGTGACAAATACCAGACCATCAACTGCATCTTGACCTGCGCTGGGAACACATTCACATGGATGCGGGCGGCATGGATCCAATCCTTTGCAGGACGATGTAGCTGAAATAACGCTTGAGCCGGTGAGCTCGGCAAGGTTTATTCCACCGCAATGGACATGACTAGTATTATTTCAGCCATGTTCCAGTCTACTCGGTCGGTACCGGTGCTAGCTCGGTGACCGATTCACCTGTGAACGAAGTCGCAAGCCTATGCATCAACAGAGCCGTGAAAGGGGATGCTCGGGCGGACTTGAATGACTGTTCAGAAGCGCTCGCTAAATCCGAGCTGATCCACAGAGCCACATTATCCTATAGAACAGCAGATCCCAGGGTTGTGTTGAGTCAAGGAGAAAGGGATAACTAGTTAGAGCATCGGAGAGGCTTGGGATATCCCTTGCCGGCGTGCCGCACATCTTCTTGGTGAGGACTCTCTTGGAAAAAGAGCGCGATGATAATAACTTTACCCCCACTGTTTCGCTGTGAGCTTTGTGGTCGATCATAATGTACGTTTTATCCAATGCCACTGACATCATTTCCCGGGCTATCGATTGCCTTTTCCTGACTTTTTGTCGTTTTCCTTTGCTTTTCTCTTTGCCTGAACTCGGCTGGGCAGCTTCCTGCGGCTCACGATGATCCTAGGAGCTAGACCGGCAACACGGGTCTGCGTCTGGCGATCATCATCGGCTTCCCCCTATCGAGCAAGATTAATTACGATAGAATACCCAGTAAAAAAAAAGTGCGACTTTAGCGTATTGATCCTTGCCTTGAAGAGTATAGCGCTTTGTGTCTCCCACGACTCTTTCGGTAAGGTTCACGAGGATTTCCCACTGCTTTAGAATCCACTTGGGCATCATGGACGATTGGCGCGTTAGCTTAACGTTCCCCATCGTGAAGGACAACAAAAATCATCTAGCCCACCTGGATTATGGGACAAGTCAACTTTGACCGTACGACGGTCTTCAATTGATCGCTCGTTGGTGTGCTCCCAGTGCAGTAGCGCAGTCTAGATTTGTCTGCCTGGGCTTAGCCTGACACAAGCACGTTGACGAGGTTGAAGTGGGGGCAGGGTCCAATATGATCTTGAGGGCGACTCGAGAACCGAGTCTCTACGGTCTGCGGCACTGGTGCTCAAACGGGAACAACCCCTTGTCCCACGTGCATAACATACCAGTAAGTTGCTTTTTGCTGTACACATCGATTGATTGTCAATATGATGAGATGCTGGCTGCCAGGAACGTCAGATTGATTGGGGGCGGTCGGGGTGTACAGGGTCATGTTCCCAGGATGTCTTGGATAATAATTGCTGCATTAAGAGACTATCAGGGTACTACTCCTTTAGTTATTCTCTAGTTGCTTTTGAATGGATGCCACCATTTTTCTGGATGGTGACACTGGGGAACAACACGTGAGATTGGTGGATACCGTCCGGCTCACCTACTGCCCGGGATGCATTTTTGACCTACGCGAGACATTCGCCAGCGACCATTGGAAGCGACATGGTCACGTGTGAGACTAGTGGGTTGTTTTCCCCTGTCATGTCACGGA